CATTATTTCCAATGGGCCTTCAAGCCTCTTCCAGTGTTTCTAATGGGCAATCCTATCATTCCTTTTAATAGAAGAAGCGAAGAGATTGGATTCATACCCCGCTCTTCACTATCTGAAGGCGTCTCAGACCAGCTTCCAATCTCCTTTCCCTTCCCCTCCCCACAACAAACACCGTGTGAGTTGGGTGGGGCCGAGATAGCTCTTTGAAAACTGCCCTTGAGAGAATAGCTCTGAGATAACTTATGACTTAACCCAAGGTCACACCAGGAGCTGGAAGAGTGGGGAATCGAACCTGGTTTTCCCAGATTAGAGTCTGCACACTTAACCACTACACCAAACTGGCTCTCATTAATAGTTAACCATTCCTTTTTCTATGCCCCATTAAAAGTTACTTGCCAGCAAGCAGCAACAGCTCTAAGCTTGAGAGAATTTAGCACCAGACCAGAGGGGAGTTTTGAACCACACACAAGGAAGCAAGAAAGTCTCCCTCCAGAGATTTCTTACCCTGTTTTCTTGGAAAGCCTCCTCGATAAGAACCACCTCATGATCTTTGTGTTCCTGGGATATGCCACAGACCATGCAGACGGGGACCTCGTCCTCCTTGCAGTAAAACTTCAGGGGTTCCTGGTGCTTCTTGCAGACTGCCCCCTTCCCTTCCAAAGGGCTGAATTTCTTGGCTATTTCTACAAAGTTGACCAGCTGTCTGTTAGGCCGGAGTTTCTTCTTCTGAGCTTTTTTTCCGCATTGGGGGCAGGCCCCAGACTCCCGCCAGGACCGGGTCAGGCAGGCTCGGCAGAAGTTGTGGCCGCACTGGACAATGGTCACCGGATCCCAGAAAAAGTCCAGGCAGATGGAGCAAGTGGCTTCCTCACAGAGCTCCTTCAGGGGACCCGCCACCGCCATGGTTGCCTCGAGGAAGCGGGGAGACCAAAGAAAAGAGTTCGTTTCGGTTTCCTGCTTTTGGAAGCAACAACGGGCGTTTCCGTACCTGCAAATGACTCTTAAAGGACAATAAACCACCCCGGCGATAGAGCTGCAAAAGCAAAACCGCTCCAGGGAACGGGCCTCGGGCGGAAGGCGAAATTTGGGGTAGAAAAGTATGCAGGAGACTCCGATGGAAGGAAGCCATTTCCCCCCTGGGCACCCCAGGGGTTTGCCACAGGGGGCCGGTGTTCCTGGAACTGGCAGCGGGAGATGCTTCCCGACGGGTCTCTGGGGCAGGCGGGCGTGGAGAGGGCAGCGCTCACTGACCCGCCGGGAAACTCCCCCTCTGCTGCTGAGTAAGACTGGAAGCAGCAGAGTCGAAAAGCAACAGGGGAAGAGCAGGCACTGGGTGGGAAGTGGGGCTAACAGGCACCAGCGGGCCGCCTTCTCCCCTTTCCAAAACTCCCCAGGCAGGTTCAGTCACCCCACCCCACCCCCGCTGTGGGTTGTCAGAAACTCTCCGGTTTCCCCGAGGAAGCTGACTGGAAGGCCAGAAGTCCCAAGAGCTGCCATTCCACCCCTCAAGCGCTTCCCCTGCTGCTTTGAGCTGTCCCCACAACAGCAGGACACACTGAAAGGCCAGCCACCCTAAAGAATACTTGCTGCAAACCGAAAATCAGCCTGGCAAAGATAGAAACTCCTTCCCTGATGTGCAAGCTTTTTCTTTGCAAGAAGCCCCCCCCCCCGCGCGAACTGTAGCCCTTTTCTGATTCTTCCTTTTTATTTTCTCCCGTAGTAGCAGG